CTTTTCCACGACATTCTAATTTATTGAGATGCACCTGTACTTTTATATATATATATATAGTATATTCATTATAACAATGAAAAATTCATAGAACACATTAAGCCATTATACATTGAACTTGGAACTTCTGAAATACAAAAACAGACTGTTTTGTGATGCATACTAATAGATTTGTCAGTTGTTCTATAATTTTGCCAGCAAAGAGAAAAATTGCCCTTTTCCACATTGTATACTACTTGTTCAGAACACAGTTTGACACTGAGCTACACACAAAAAAACACTTCCACACTGCAATGTAGCAGCAATATTCATACAATATTTGCTTTACTATTCAGCAACACTCACACATAATAAATAAATACCAAGAGCAGCAATGAAAACAACTTTGTATTCCATCAATTTAAACTCAGTGTACTTTATCTGAGCAAAGAGAGCGAGTAACATCTAGAAGTGTAGAGGACAGATTCACGGCTGATTGAGAGTGAATATACGAGGAAGGAAGGAAGACTAATGTTTGGAGTCTCGGGGATAAAACTCGGCCAGAGTGCTCTGAGGAATTCTCTTCAGCATCTCCTTGGGGAAGATTCTCAACAGCTGCCAGCCAATGTCTTTCAAACACAGTTGTGTTTCAAACACAGCTCGGTTCTCATATGCACCTGTGGTACAAAACATGTTAGGCTCATTCTGAAATGATATAATAGTGCAGCCTGTTGCCATTTGCATAATTATATATATATGTATTTCTATATATTAGATATATATATTTCTATATATTAGATATCAACCTCATGTCATCGAAGATGAAGATGAGTTGTTTGTTGGAGAAATTTAACATTACATTTACTCTTTAGCAGACGCTTTTATCCAAAGCGACTTACAATTGAGGAATATAATAAGCGATTCATCAAAGAGGTAAATAAACACAGGAAGTGCTCGCAATACAAAGTTTCATGCATTGTTCAGTTTAGTACAGACTAGACAGGAAGAGATTAAGGATGAAGTCAAATGGTTGTCACTTGAAAACTGTCAGGGATTCAGCATTCCGGACGGCGATGGGAAGATCATTCCACCAGCCAGGAATGGTGAACAAAAATGTTCTGGAAAGTGATTTTGTGCCTCTCCGTGATGGTGCCACGAGGCATCGGAAGGGCCTAATCTTTCTAATGTTGTGCAATGCAAACCTGCAAGATCGAGCAGTTTTTGCAATGCGGTCTTTGAAAGTCAGCTGATCATCAAAATATAATAAGCGATTCATCAAAGAGGTAAATAAACACAGGAAGTGCTCGCAATACAAAGTTTCATGCATTGTTCAGTTTAGTACAGACTAGACAGGAAGAGATTAAGGATGAAGTCAAATGGTTGTCACTTGAAAACTGTCAGGGATTCAGCATTCCGGACGGCGATGGGAAGATCATTCCACCAGCCAGGAATGGTGAACAAAAATGTTCTGGAAAGTGATTTTGTGCCTCTCCGTGATGGTGCCACGAGGCATCGGAAGGGCCTAATCTTTCTAATGTTGTGCAATGCAAACCTGCAAGATCGAGCAGTTTTTGCAATGCGGTCTTTGAAAGTCAGCTTGTCATCAAAGATTACACCGAGATTTCTGACCAAACTTGATGGGGTAATTGTTGATGAACCTAGCTGGATGGTGAAATTATGCTGTAGAGTAGGAGTGGCAAGGAAGACAAGAAGCTCAGTCTTTGCCAGGTTTTTGAGCGGTCTTTGAGCTGTAGGTGATGATATTTCATCCATGCAGAGATGTCTGCCAGGCAGTCTGAAATCCGTGCGGCTACCATTGGATCATCTGATTGAAATGAGAGAGAGCTGTGTGTCATCAGCATAGCAATGGTAGGAGAAACCACATTCCTGTATGATGGGACCCAGTGATGTAGTGTATATGGAGAAGACAATTTGGTCCAAGAGCTCATCCCTGAGGAACCCCAGTGACCAGTTTATGTGCTTTGGATACCACCCCTCCCCAGGCCACCCTGAAAGACCTACCAACCAGTGAGATAGGATTCAAACAAGCAAAGTGGAATCCCTGTGATGCCCAGTGATAAGAGGGTGGACAGGAGGATCTGATGATTCACAGTGTCAAAAAAAACAAAAAACAAACACATAGCTTTCCATTTCAAAAGACATACATTGATGGACTGGAGTGGTGTGGATTACTTGTGAATTATTGTGATTAAAATGGTTAGAGCATTGACAGCAGATGTCTGCTTATTTTTTAAACTCGAAAGGTCTAGGGCTAAATTCTGTTCTATTTCCAAAATGAATATTAATAGATCCATTACAGATAACTTTGATACCATTTCTAGTTTTGTTATACCTATTGGTCTAATTTATACACATCTAAATTTTCTGAGCTTTCTATGTCAATTTTTTGCAAAAATCTAGAGAATTTAAATATAATTAGTCAAGAGGACCAAATATTATGTGATTCCCAAATTACTTTTTCTGAAATTAAGGATGCGATTCAACATTTGAAATGTAATAAATCACCCGGTAGTGATGGAATTACTGCTGAATTCTATAAGCAGTTCTGAGTTTCTCACCCCGTCCCTTTTTGAAGTGTATTCTGAAAGTTTAAAGTGCTCTGAACTTCCTACAACTATGACACAAGGCGAAATCTGTCTAATTCTTAAACCCAAGAAAGATTTACTGTATTGATAATTGGAGACCCATTAGTCTATTGAATAATGGTTACAAAACATTTGCTCTTGTTTTCGCCCAAAGGTTTAAATTAGTATTAGATTCAATCAATGAAAACCAATCGGGGTTTATGAGAAAGAGACATATTTAATGATATTAGACTTATTTTGGATCTTATTGATTATTCGAACCTTAAGAGTTTATTGTTTTTAGATTTATTTTTAAAGCCTTTGACACCGAACATCCTTTTATTTTTTTATTGTTTAGAACCCTTTGGGTTTGGGACCCATTTCTGCAATGCCATGAAAACGCATAATAGTTTGGCAATAGTTAAGTCAAGGCACCACACAAAGATTTGATCCAAATAGAGGTGTGAAGCAAGGTTGCCCAGTTTCGGTTTACCTTTTTCTTATCTTGTCGTTTTATTAAATCAAGATAGAAGGAATTCAAGTCGAAAGAAAAAGTGTCCTGATAAGTCAGCTGACCGATGACACAGCCCTTTTTTTGAAAAATGCTTGTCAAATTCAACCGGCTATCAAAATTAGACATTTTCTCCAGTGCCTCAGGTCTTTGCCTTAATTTACAAAAATGTGAACTGTTGCTGCCATGACAAATCCATTAGTAATATTCCTGTAAAAGGAAGTTCCCATCTATTTAGGTATGGCTTTCTCCAAAGATGAACAGGACCGAGTCTCACTCAATTTTAATCCAGTGCTTAAACAAAAAAAAAACAAAAAAAAAATGAAAGGGCAGATTTAATATTTGGTTAGAGGGATTTATCTCTTAAAGGTCATGCTGTCCTAGCTAAAACGGAAGGTATTTCTAGGCTTACCTATGTTGCTTCCTCCATTCATTCAGATAGTAAAATAAAAACGATAATTGATCAAGCTGAATTTTGTGGAAAAACTGTACATTACATTAGAAAAGCGGTGATAGTTAATTCACAAAAAAAAATGGTGGTCTTGATTATTTAGATTTTTCCATCCTAAATAACACGCAATTAACTGGTTGAAGTATTCTTTGAAAAACCCTTCTTCTATGTGGAATTTAATATCTAATACTGCATTTAACCAATTTGGCAGCCTCATTTTTGTTCGTGCGATTACAAAATTGTAAAACTACTGGTTAAATTGTCAGCTTTTCACAAGCAAGCACTTTTGGGATGGAAGTTAACTTACAAGCACAATTTTTTCTCCACACCATATCTAGAA